ACTGGGCATTGCAGTGTTGAAGTAAATTGTGAATCACCGTTCATGTATCGCCAGCCGTGAACACTTAACAAAACTTTGACACGTCTGTACCAACTGGGCTGCAGACCAACTGTCTGATACCCGTGTTGCCCATCTTCATCACAGATTATTCATCCATCCCGGCGCTCTGATCATTTGCACGTACGCATTCAAAAGCCTACCACACAGCACTGATCTGACATTTTTCTACCAGTACGCCTTCAACCACCGACCCTCAATTCGCCCCCTCTCCTCATAAGAGTCGGCTGAAGTCTTCTATCGCTTTGGACTCGAAGACCTCATACATCAATAAAAAGTCATTGTCATTTACTATAAATTCGTTGTAAAAAAGTAGAAGCTTTGAAAGATATCTAGTGGTGGCATTGGTGAACTTGTAAAATTTTAAACCCACCTGCAGAATGACTGTAGAGTACTCCTTACTCAGCGCAAGAAATCCACCTTTGGACACTGGGATTAGTGTGGACTCGGGAGTTCTTCGACACTACCAATCCTCTCATTTGATAACATAAATACCATCAATTTCAGTACGCACAAATGGCTGGGAAATGCGGCTCTAAAATTCTTCAGAAGTTTGACCTCATTTGAGCAAGAATTACTCATACTTCCAACTTCATAACACTTTCCCGGCTGAATAGCTTAGCCTAAATACGAGTTTGCTTGTAATCTGGAATAAGCACAAGGAATGCAGAGCCTGAGGTAAAGGATTCAGAAACTGTAAATTTCAACAGCTTAGCTCCACTCTACCTGAACTCGAAACTGAGCTCACGTATTTCTAATTAAACACAAGAAAACACGCCAATGCAGCCGGAATCTTGTTGTCTTTTAAAAAGCCTATTCTAAAAGCATTTTTCCATTTATGAAGAGATTCCACTGCAGTCGGAAATAAAACTGGTTACCGAAACAGTTTTTTTAAAGTAAAATCCAGCCCCTCAAGACCTAATTCGATCGCGTATCCTGTCACCGTTGCAGCACATGCTATCAATACCTCACCAGTCATCCTCCTGCAGTGACTCACGAATATCATCCATGTCTCAACTACGTAAAGGAAAATCTCCAAGTTAATGCATTGCATTCATAATCAAAATCCTATTCCACATCTAATACTTCTAGTTTACCAGGCGAAGCCCGCAACGTGCTATAGCTATGCTTTGTTAGTGGCAGCACGGTGCCGAGATTTATGCAGCCAGTCCATCGGATAAAGCCTAGAAACTTGAACAAGTTAGCAGGACTCCGTAATTCTGTCAAAAATACTCAACAAATCAGCAGTTCAGCATCACTCGCCTCGGTAGTAACATTCGACATAATCACTACAATTCGTGTAAAACACCATGCACACAAGTGTTTGACCCAACAACGCTCAAGAGGGGAAGCCGAGGGGACGGCCGATCAACACAATCGAGAAATTGACACCCAAGCCCAAGAACCAGGGCCAGCGCACCCCCTGCTACTTGCTAACCCGACCGACCACCTGCGATCAATTCAAAGAGGATATACTCAAACAACTCACACGCCACGCACGTCAACACAAAACTGCACTGACAAAAAAATTGAATAACACCAAAAACAACCCACAGGCGCAATCGAGCAAGTACACTTCAAATATTTTTTTTATTTCCTACGAAATCACACCAAGTCTGATAAAGTACAGCATCTCGGAGATGGGACAACATTCTAGGGATTTCAACCCGTGCTATTAGGTTGCTGAGGCATGTAGAGCTGAACCGGATGAGGCTGAGGGTGAACATTCTGAGGAATACCGAAAGTGTTTGGAACGGCCTGGTGGGGTACACCCATAGTCATGGCCTGAGCAAGCACTTGCTGAGGCGAGAGCTGATAAGGACCAGCGGTGAAAAATACATGAGGTTGTGGTTGCTGCTGAACGGATTGTACGGCTCCCTGTTGTTGAGCAGCCTGGAGCTGTAAAGGTTGAGATGGTATCAGAGACTGCTGACTTTGACTTTGCAACTGAGATCCGATTTGAGGCTGACCTCCAGCGCCAACTTGTTGTATAGGAAAAGGGATCAATCCAGGTGCTTGGTATACGGGTTGAGAATAATATCCAAGAGAACCTGAAGCCTGCGATCCAATCAACTGACCAGTTGAATACTGTGAGTAAGCAGCTACACCAGCGGGGCACTGAACACTCCCAAGATGAGGATTGTAGCCAGGATGAAACTGAGTTCCTTGTGCCTGAGGGGAAGAAGTAATAGCCTGCGAACTTGTCTGTATGTGATTTACTTGTCCTGATGGTGGCTGTGCAGAATGCGACGTGGAGGATTGCTGTCCCGATGTTTGAGAGGCAGAGACAGCACCGGTCAGAGCATGCACCCCAGCGTACGCTGTTGATTGAAAATTCCCGGGCATGGTTGAAATGAGTGGAACGCCTATCGGATAGGAAGCACTTTGAACAAAAGAAAACCCCTGAGGAGAGAACATTGGAAAGGGTAACTGCTGAGATGCTGCATTAGCCTGGTCAACAGAACGCTGCTTAGAATAATTTCCGGCAGGAACGCTTTGCCTTGGTCCCCTTGACCCAGCTGCAGTCGGAGCCACATTAGGCTGAGTAGACAAAGATCCTGAAGCAGGCAATTGTTGAGAAACCATCGCTAGTTGCTGAGGTGGAAAACTAATCTGAGAATGTCGCAAAGCCGTAAATTGGGGAGCCACAGTGGAGGGCAATACGCACGAGACAGAAGAAGGCAAGCTAAATTGAACAGCAGGCGCACCACCATTTGGCAAAGAGTGCTGATTGGAGGCCGCAAAACCAGACACCGACAGGGGCACCGGCTGAGAATATGCAACAGGATTGAAAGCGGTGCCAGCAAGACTTGTCGGCTCAAGAGGTATAATGAACCCTGATGGCTTGAACTCCGGTGCATCTGGATCGAGGAAACCCCTTTTTTTATCATCCTTTTTTCCTACAGCCTCAATTGATTTCGACAAATCCTTCGAAGGCGATACAGCTGAATTCGTAGAAGCATCAGTGGTGACAGGGGA